CTCGAAAGGTACAAATGAGCACATCTGGTAAGTACCGACGAGGGAGTGCGAACGATCGTGGCAACAGAGAGCAACAGTAAAACCAATAAAGCCAATTTACGCAACAACGGATCATTCTGAGTGCTCAAAAATCGCTCAGCTGTAACACTCATTCGATACACAGCTCCGTACCACCCGAAGAAAGCACGGGGGCTGAGCTACTGTTAGATAGCCCAAGTCTAGGCAGGATCAGTCGACATACCGAGATCGAACCAGGGACCTTCCGGTCAGTGAGTTCGCACCTCAACCACTATAATAGTTGTGCAGTTGTAGCAACCTTTCGGTGCCTCACTGCCATCTACACGAAGGAAGCCCCAGGGCCGCGATAATACCAGGTTGCCCAAGCCTAGACAAGAGCAGTCGAGATGCACAAGTCGAGTGCGAACAAAGATCCTCCGGTCAGTGAGTTCACACCTCAACCACTAAGATATCTCGAGCTATCTCTTGAGCGTTAATCAAAGCGGTAACATATTGTTTTGTGAGTGCTAGGAGAACAGCGATTTTGCTCTCCAGTTAACGCACCGGAGCTATTAATATTTCGTCACAGTGACTGATGCCGCATAGATAGAATTTATGTTAACCTGCAACTAAATATCGATGTGAGATTGAGTCAACCAGGTGGGGAGTGCTCCAAATAAGAATCTGTGTACTGACAAAGACACGTTTCTCCGAAAGGAAAACAATCAAAACAGTTAATATGTCAAACTGACCGCTGGAGGAATACAATGATCGAATCGGTTAGGTTCCTGTACTCAATCCAGGAGCGGTCTTGCTTAACGAACGCCTAAGTTGAACATACATCAGGACTGGTTTAGAGGAACAAATTTTTGCCGTTTCTTCTACAGCTGGATTGAACAGAAGGCGCTTTACAATGAAACCTTTTGATGCGGATTAGTTACGTCCCTACTCCACCTTAATACGGGATGCTATTGAGAAACCGCAGACTAATCGAGCATTCCAAGCGGAACTCAGATGAACGGTGAATATTTATTAGCCTCGCTAGATAGGTTAATCATAGTGAGGCAGTGAGCTTAAACGGATCACACCTCATTTTGATAACTGAAAGAAATCATCGTGCGACACCAGCCCCCGCAGAAATCCGCCAACGCGTAATCGGTATTCACACAACTGCACTTAAGGTGTTTGCTGTAGCCTGATTATGCCGGCTGTTTTCGCTAATTGACTCCAGATGTGCATCTCTTCCCGCGCAACCAGCTTCAACATAAATGAAATCTTTATGCACATCGCGGAACATGTAAATAGAACCACAAATTCCTAGTCAGAAGGTCGTTTGTTGTTAATCTCATTACTGTGGATATTCGAAAATGTAAATAGAACCACTAATTCCTAGTCAGAAGGTGCGTTCGTGCTAATCTCATTACTGTTGACTATTCGAAAAGATATCCTCCTCTTTGATCTGTGTCTTATGGGCTGTACCATTTACTTTGATGAGACCACGCTGGGACAACACGACGTTTTCATTTACAATGGTCTGGTCACATATTGATCGACTGTTCAATTATATCCCTTTCGTGCGAGAGCGGACCGATGACAGTTTATTGGAAGGCAGATGACTGAATGTAGAAAAATGCGTTTCTAAAACTGACAGGAAAACAAGAAACAAGTCAACTCATTCAAGGGGGCAGTTGTTATGAAAAACCCGAATACAGTGTTCCCTTAAGAGGAAACTTTTGTTGGACCTTACATTGTCTTCTGTATGTTACGTATCTGTATACGAGGCTCACGAATTCACGTTGGAAAACGTGAACACCTTGGCAGCAAAGGATACAAAACAGTCAAGGGAATTCTGCAAATCCTGCATGTGCAACTGAACCGAATCCGTTCATCAATATTCCCCGAATACCGGGAGGACAACCAGTTGAAATGAATACCCATCAAGACGTCATGAAACAGGACAGTCCCAGGAACAAAGGTCATGTCGTACAGACGGGTGTAGAAGACGCAAGGTCAGAGATCAGGTGGAGATAAACCAATAAGAACACAAACTGACTGGTCATCAATGAATGCTAACTAACAACTATCCACAAGCGAAGTTCGTTCCTCGTTCATCATCATCATCATCATCATCATCATCATCATCATCATCATCATCATCATCATCATCGTCATCATCATCATCATCAAAGACAGCATTATCAGTGTTGCCACTGATGCTTCACTGCCGTACGACCATAAGGTTTGTCTAGTTATATATATATATATATATAT